AAAGTGAAAGACGTTCGCCCTTCTTTGACATTTCAAAGTACATGAAAAGAACAATTCATGCGTTACAGCTTCCCAAACAAACCGTAGTTAAGATTTTGAACTCTCATAAGAACACATGCTCCCCTGCACATCCCTTAGGGGGCATCTCAAAACAGGATAGGAAATTAAAGTTAGATTCCTTTGATAAGAAAGTTGTCAGGGACGTGATTCGGCGGTTAACATGAGAAAATGAATTTATTTCAACACGAAAACTAAAACAAATTCTCCTTAAAGAGCATGGACCATTTGTAAACTCCTTTCCAAATTTGGATATCAGTACAAAAAGACGAAAGGGTCGAAACTAGCAATGTGTGAACGACAAGATATCATTCGTTTGCGTATCAATTATTTGCGCACTATTAAAATGAAACGAGAAGAAGGCTATGAGCCTGTCTATTTGGACGAAACCTGGGTTAACACGAATACGGTGTTAGCGTTGGGCGTCTCAAGCAGTTATTTAATAATATTTATCCAATTATTTTTGCATTCTTTTTTAGGTCAGTGTTATTGACTTAAATGTATCATTCCTTGCCACATTATTATATTTCATGCATCATGTTATCAGGTGAAATATATCATACATAATTATTCATTTAGACAAATCATTACTTTATGGTTTCGAAGAAAATATTTTAATATTTTCGTAGATGATTCGAGACTTTCAGGTGAAAGAGAATCAAATTCTGAGCCAAGAATTGCACAAAGTGGCCAAGATCCAATTACGACATGTACTACAAAGCACGAACCTGAAATTGGTAGACGATTCCTAGAAATTCTTTGACAAACAATTTTTTCTCTCACGAATCCCACGAAATACAAGAATGTTTGGGAATCAATGAAGATATATTTAAGATTCTTAACAAATGATTAAGAATATGTACGAATATGTGAGAATTCATATCCGTGGTAATTCGGGCTATTACATATTATATTATATGTATTGCACTATTCTTGGTCCCACGAAATGCCCTTGTCGTCAGATTCGGAGTCTGTGCTGTCACCTAAATGAACAACAACAGGCTGGACAGTATCTGGTCGGATACAGTCTTGTTTCCAATACTCTTCCTCAACTTTGATAACATCTGGACACAGTTTGCCCAACGTACATCTGTAATTTCTCCCATCCCTTTCAAGACAATCAGCTTGACGTCGGCAAGCTTGAAGGTCTTATTTTGCCGTATGACCATATTTTTCAAATCACCCCAGATTAGTTCGATGGGTTTCAAGTCAGTATGGTAAGGAGGAAGTCTAAGCACTACGTGACCGTGTTCTCTCAACATGTTGTCAATCAAATAAGAGGGCGGGGGTTTGTTCTGAAGAACCAGTTGGTAGTAGTCAGTTTTTTTTGGCTTTCGTGGGCCGTGCAATGCGGTTGTTGTCCAACCACTGATATATCTCACCTTTGGTGGAATTTGAGGTTGGACAACGGTTAATAGAATCTCGACAACTGTGATAGGGAGCATTGTCCATAACCACCAAGGATTTATCAGGCAGCGCTGCCCCTCAATATACGCAGTGAAAACCTGACTATTCATCTCGGTATGGTAGTCTCTGCCATCTGTAGATCTGGATCTGAACAGTAGATCACAACCAGGGAGGAAACCTCTGTCGGAGCCTGCATGGAGGACAATCAGGCGCTCCCCTTTACCAGGGGGGATCTTGTGCTGTGGCTCTCTGGTATATGGGTGAGACCATTGGTTAGCCGCTGTGTGGCAGGCGTTAACCCAGGTTTCGTCCAAATAGACAGGCTCATAGCCTTCTTCTCGTTTCATTTTAATAGTGCGCAAATAATTGATACGCAAACGAATGATATCTTGTCGTTCACACATTGCTAGTTTCGACCCTTTCGTCTTTTTGTACTGATATCCAAATTTGGAAAGGAGTTTACAAATGGTCCATGCTCTTTAAGGAGAATTTGTTTTAGTTTTCGTGTTGAAATAAATTCATTTTCTCATGTTAACCGCCGAATCACGTCCCTGACAACTTTCTTATCAAAGGAATCTAACTTTAATTTCCTATCCTGTTTTGAGATGCCCCCTAAGGGATGTGCAGGGGAGCATGTGTTCTTATGAGAGTTCAAAATCTTAACTACGGTTTGTTTGGGAAGCTGTAACGCATGAATTGTTCTTTTCATGTACTTTGAAATGTCAAAGAAGGGCGAACGTCTTTCACTTTCAGCCTTAAAGTATTAAAATATTTTAGCAACGAAACCTTTCGCATCAGCAGTAAGATGCTTGCGCTGAGACATCATGAAATCTAATACTAACACCGTATTCGTGCGTGCGTGATTCCCGTGCAACCTTTCGAGTTGAGTTGATTGGTTCAACTGTGTCATATGGCCCTGTGACGCAGGGGTAGCATTATGCAGATGGCTGTTACAATGAATGCTCGTCCCACCCGTGACGAACAGGTCTGGTTGTTAAAGAAATATAGTGATAGCTAAATAGACTGTTTAATAATCTCATACCAACTTTGACTGGTGTAGGTCCAATAGTTTTCAGATATTGTAGTAAACGTCGGTACCTTAAATTAACTTCCAGACTTTTATATATATGACGTCACGTGTGGAAGTATTGATACTTTATAAAATATCTAGGTACTTAGCAAACCTTTATTATGGGCAAGCTGTAAATGGGCCTAGTTGCCCGAACACCTTTAAAATTTATTCTAATCAATCATCGACTTCACATAAGTTTGTAAAGAGGTGCATTTCGCGTCGAACGGGAGCATGAGTATGAAATTTATCCTTACTGCTGTTGAAAATGAAGTTTATGGAACAGTTATGGAAAATACTCTGAGGCATGTACCCTCCCATGGCACTTGCAAATTGGGAATATCACTGATTTGTGAAGGTTTTGCTTGTGTTTGGATAATCGCAAACCAATTCGGACGATGTGCAATGGACTGGTGAGGATTGAACGGAGTGCTCTTAAACTTGTATATTTTGTGTTAATTTTCATTGTCAGGGTGTTTTATATTTGGAGTTTGGGATTTGTCGTTTATGCTGTAATACTTTGCTTAGCTGGGGCTTTTTATCACCTGAGATGGACCTATATGCTAACACTTAGTCAATGAAAACATGTCTTTAAAAATTTATTTTTTTCTTCGAAGGAACCTTTCCTCTTCAGCTGTTTTCAAATGTGGAATCAAGCAAACTAGACTTGGTTAGTTTGATCAAGACTTGCCTAGGCAAGAGGAAGGGAGTTTATGGAGATTATTTCTAACATTGGCATTATCAATACAATTTTGTCTGTAGGATATTACAACATGCACAAATTTAAATTTAGTTTCTTTTAATAAATTTGTATCATTAAATCTGTATTATTTTGAAATAGTTACAGAGGATAGATAAATGATAAAATGTATAACCCCTATGCTTATAAGTAAGCTTTCGTTGTATTCAATGTATTTTTTTTCCAATGCTTCTGTAAATGATGCGTGTGCTGGCCCAGCTAGAGCCATCTTGTAACAATAATCACCAGCTGTCAATGACCCACTGCCTGACGGGATCGTGGAAATCCTTCCTGCTGAGTTCACATAAAACCAGCCTGCTCACATTTGAGCAAATGTGTTCACCCTGTTCCCCATAGTATATGGTAATAAATAAAATAAACCTCGGGCAAACTGAAAATCATTTCACTCGTTACATAAATTTGATATTAAATAAAAGTGAGAGTATTGCTGACAGGGTCGTTGTCGGCACGGGCACTACATATATGTTTACTAGGTACTTTTTGGTATCAAATGCTCCCTTTAAAAAATCCATTCGGTAGTATGCTAAACTGGTTCCTTGGATTTGAAGAATATGGACTCGCCCTTCCTTTGGGTACTGTTGTGTATTCTGTATTCTGATTTTGGTTAGGGTACATTTCTGTACACCGAAAAGTACATAGAGTACATATCTGAAATACCCATGCCGACAACTATCCCTTCAACTGTAATATCCAAAAACTACTACCCAAAGAAATATTGGGACGAGTGTTGGGAAACTTCAAACTTCAAAATATCGCCAAGTAATATGTGACATACGTTGTGGGGATGACTTTCGAATAACGAAAGCCATTGATGTTAGCTTTTTCACTGCGACAAACTTTGAGTATTTTTTTTCTATTTTAATATTTTTCATATGCTCGTTTTCTCGTAATTATTCGTAAAAGAATATATTCTTCCATCAACTTTGCGCGTTTCCTCAGAAATCACACATAGTAGCTAGAGCCATGGAACTTGTGTAAGTGCATTGCACCTTTCATATTCCCAAAACCTCTCAACAACGACAACCTTGTGTTCATTTACAGGTTTTCTTTAAGTGGCCAGTTTGCAAAATCTGCAAAGTTTCATTAATGTCTGATAAGTATTATTTCATGGTGATAACCCTAAATGTAAAAATAAAAAGTATCTGTCACTTCAACATTTAATGTAACAAGGGTTAACCCGCGAAGTCTATGACGAGCCTTTTACGATTTCAAGCAGGCAAGAATGAAAATGTTCATTCAAAACCTATTTAAATAAAAGCGACAAAACCCTTTCTTTAATCATAAGCAAGATATGCAAAAGGCAATGTCCAGTGTACGATTTCGGCTACGCCATAAGCATGTGTTTTGAATCACTATCAAATCGTGGTGATACTAGATGCTCTCGAAAAGGTGACTGTGTGTTTCCCGAACCAACAGTTACCAATGACAGCGATCTCACAAGCAGCTATATATATAGAGATAAACACCGTGTTTACACGTTTATGTTCTAGTTAGTTGAAACCTGTCGAAACCTGTCACGAAAACGAACATTACATGGCAAAACGATGGTCACAGGCGACCCCGTTGTATATTTGTCACCGCTACTTTGCGTTTTACGCCCATTGGAATCTGTTTTACAGGAAAATCGAGACTGTTTTTTCTCTGGTGTTGACGTTTTACATTACACTGAAAGATTTGCATTTGTCAAGGAAGGTAATTAGCACTCACCTGTAAGACTATCTTTAAAACTTTACCACATATCAAAGACCAGTTTATAAAGGACGGCTTACCCCTCCTAGATGTTTCTCTGTTGGAATAGTGCGCAGTTAAACAAAATTGAAACTGACAACAAGGAAGGAGTATGCAGCATCCCGACACCCTTCAACCGGATGCGAACTATCAACACACAGTTACATATCATACATCATCTTATTATTACATTTAAAATAAATGTACATGTAGAGTGGTGTATGTGTGTATGTGCTTTCACTCTCAAGTGCTGATTCAATCCCGAGCACAAATGTTAAACATAGTTTACCTGCTATATACACTGTAACCTGCCTAATCTTATTGTGCTGTTATATTCATGCCGAATGTGTTTTATATCCAACCATGTGTTGTGTATATCACAGCACTGTCTGCCAGACACCTACAGATCCGTGGACAGCATTGTTCTCTCTGTTGATTGTGTGGTGTACATCACAGCACAGCCTGCAAGACACCTACAGATCCGTGGACAGCATTGTTCTCTCTGTTGATTGTGTTGTGTATATCACAGCACAGCCTGCAAGACACCTACAGATCCGTGGACAGCATTGTTCTCTCTGTTGATTGTGTGGTGTACAGCACAGCCTGCAAGACACCTACAGATCCGTGGACAGCATTGTTCTCTCTGTTGATTGTGTTGTGTATATCACAGCACAGCCTGCCAGACACCTGCAGATCCGTGGACAGCATTGTTCTCTCTGTTGATTGTGTGGTGTATATCACTGCACAGCCTGCCACACACCTACAGATCCGTGGACAGTATTGTTCTCTCTGTTGATTGTGTAATGTATATCACTGCACAGCCTGCCATACACCTACAGATCCGTGTACAACATTGTTCACTCTGCTGATTGTGTGATGTATATCACTGCACAGCCTGCCATACACCTACAGATCCGTGGACAACATTGTTCTCTCTGTTGATTGTGTGATGTATATCACTGCACATCCTGCCAGACACCTACAGATCCGTGGACAGCATTGTTCTCTCTGTTGATTGTGTGGTGTATATCACACCACTGTCTGCCAGACACCTACAGATCCGTGGACAGCATTGTTCTCTCTGTTGATTGTGTTGTGTATATCACAGCACAGCCTGCCAGACACCTGCAGATCCGTGGACAGCATTGTTCTCTCTGTTGATTGTGTGGTGTATATCACTGCACAGCCTGCCACACACCTACAGATCCGTGGACAGTATTGTTCTCTCTGTTGATTGTGTGATGTATATCACTGCACAGCCTGCCATACACCTACAGATCCGTGGACAACATTGTTCTCTCTGTTGATTGTGTGATGTATATCACTGCACAGCCTTCCAGACACCTACAGATCCGTGGACAGCATTGTTCTCTCTGTTGATTGTGTGGTGTATATCACACCACTGTCTGCAAGACACCTACAGATCCGTGGACAGCATTGTTCTCTCTGTTGATTGTGTGGTGTATATCACAGCACAGCCTGCCAGACAACTACAGATCCGTGGACAGCATTGTTCTCTCTGTTGATTGTGTGGTGTACATCACAGCACAGCCTGGAGTGGAGAAACCTGTTATGTACACAAAAGGGTAGTAAAGACAATTATCGGCGAAGTCAGTAACATAAACAAAAGGGTGAAGCCAGTAATATAAACAACAGGATTATGGCTGATTGGGATCTTTGATGAGTTTATGGTACGCCGGGTGTATGTTATAGCCTTGGTCAAGGTTGGAGTCTTTTGATGTTGATGGGTTCTTGAAGTTTTCTGATTTTGAAGTCTTCATGGAGACGGGGCAATCTCAATCATAAACCGACTCAACAACCTTGAGAACAAGTACATCCACTACTATCCTTACTTAGTACTCCAACTTCTAAATGCCTATCAAAGAAGTTCTACAACACAGCTTTTCGCAGCTATTTCTCTCAACATTTGAAAGCAAAAACAAATTTCAAAAAACTTTATTGACTGGATGCTTAAATAATTATTAAATGTAACACTGTTCATGTATGAGATATAACGCTAAATTATATACACAACGGTTCAGAGGATGACAGCAGAGGATGTCCCATGATAATTTAATGGCAATATGACTCGCTCGTGTCACAGCCCTCGTCGTCGGAATTGCTTGTGTCACTGCTGATGGTCACAGCTATTGGTGGGACTGTTGTTTGCTGAAGTTCATCACGTGACCAGTACCTTGACTCTGTCTCGTTGACGACTTTGGTAACGCAACGCTGACATGTCTCCACTGTTTTCCCCCGATCACGGGATTCCTAGCTTTTCAACATCCCGCAATTGAAACGTTGTGTTAACGTTCAATTGTCCAGTTTCACATTTGACGATACCCCATATCAACTCTATTGGTGTCAGATCGCACTGGTAAGAGGGGAGTCGTAAGACGGCGTGACATTGACATTTGATGTAATTGTTACCCATATACACGGGCTCAGGTTTGTCAGATTTGATGAATTCATAGAGTTGTGTTTCTGTAGCCCTGGAAGGAAAGATTATATTCATCCATTGCAGCCACGTCATCATATCTCCTTTAAGGCTATTAGACGTCGGGGCCTTGCTGTTTGGGTCCTGCATACTGCGATATGCCAGACTCCTTACAGTCCCCACTTGGTACCCACTGACTGCTGGCTGTGTGAGAGACATTTACCCACGTCTCATCTAGGAAAACAGGCTCATATCCTTCTTCACGTTTCTACTTGATTGTTCGAAGATAATGATTTCGGCGACGAAGGATGTCAGATCGGTAACCTAACGCAACCCTACTTTCACCACTTATCCCGTCCCGTCATTTTTCGACTTGTTAAATAGGAGACATACCAAGGGCTTTAGTAATTAGGAGACATACCAAGAGCTTTAGAAGCTCATTTTAAGTTTTTATTAATGGCAAAAAATGGCTTTCTTCTTTCTGCGTGGTCGGCGGCCTATGCCGCACTCGCCTCCCTGTCATGTCCTAGACGTGTTCAGTGGGGGAAGGGAAGGGGCTGGGCTCATTGCTGGCCATAGCATTCTATAGACATTGTTCAATCTGCTGGAGGTGAGTATGGACGATTCATGCATGATGAGCACGGATGTTGTCTTCCTGAAAGACGAACGATCGACCCACAAGCCTTGCAAACGGGACAACGAAGGGTGTCAGTTCGTTGTCCCGATACTTCTTTGCAGTGACCCTTCCTTGTACAATATGGAGTAGGGTTCGCTCAGTCATAGTGATGCCACTCAAAATCATAACCGATCCACCGCCAAATCTGTCATGAGGTCTCAGGCTGACATTGGCTTGACGTTCATTTCGACGTAGCCAGACACGACCACGCCTGTCAAGGAAGGGCAAAGTGAATCGGGAGAAGGTGAAAACATGACACATGATCAGCGACGATGACAGCAGTTGTGTACACCATTGACGTATGTTGGCAATATGACGATTTGCAAGGGGCGGAACAACACTGGCCCTCGAGCATGGAGAAGAGCTGCACGACTTCTCGTCTAACCCGTGATCCGGAACTCGTACTCCAGCTGTTCGATTCGCCGTTTAAGCTCGATTTCGTTGAGCCTGGTTTCGGATCAGTCGATCCTTTTCTCTTTTCGTTGACCTGTGACGCCCTGAACGAGGTCGATCGTCAACATTGTTTGGTGCCTTGTCTGCTGACCACAAACCGTGAAACATTGAACGTATTGGCTACTGCACAAACACTGAATGGAATCAAAGGGAAGAGAATATATGGATGTCAACTTCTTTATTATGAGGAACACAACGTTTCGGAGTATATGCTTACTCCTTCATCAGGAGGATCCTTTTCACCTGATGAAGGAGTAAGCATATACTCCTAAATGTTGTGTTTCTCCTAATAAAGAAGTTGACATCCATATATTCTCTTCCTTATGTGTATCCCTTCTAAATGCCTTTCAAAGAACTGAATTGAATCAGGTTAATAACAGCTGTGTGATAAGCAGAATCAATAACATTGACATAAATAATGGTTCACAGAGATTAATCGACCTTCTTTGAAAGTGTCAGAATCAGAAATGAGACTTTGCACACGTGTGTGCCGCTTCTGTGTAAGGCACGTGAAAAACTACAGGCTGTATTTTGGTGAGTTTTACAGACATAAATGTTCTTGCATATATTAGGATGTTTGTCATCAACATTAATCTTTTTTCTCTTATACTTGGTATCAATATGTATATTTCATGATTCCGTACACATATGAAATACTGAATACTGGGTGGTGAGGTGCTGACCTTTGACTAAGCAAAGTAAATATTTTTTTCTATAAAACCACTTTTGTCTTTTCCTTTCTGACGCATAAATTATTCCGTCATCACATGGATTGCATCGGCATTTAACTATCATATTATCTACTTTTAGTCAGGTTAAAATTTGGCGCCACTGTAGTTTTATGCGTTTTGATAGGAATAAAGGAATCATAAATGACATAAATGACACCTTATTGATCACATGCAATGGATATTCCATAATATGAGACCGTTTCCGTGGTCTAGTGGTAGAGCGTCTGCCAGGAGAGCGGAAGGTCGGGGGTTCGATCCTCGGCCGCGTCATACCAAAATGACGTTAAAAGATGGTACTCCTTGTTTCTCTGCCTGGCGCTCTGTTGTCACTGTCCGACTGACTAAGCACTGACCTTATGATGCAATAAGTTAATCGCACAATCAAGGAAAATGTGTTCAGAGACCCTGTGTGACGATTGAATTTATGACTAACATTATATGATAAAGAGGTTACAACGTTTGTGAGTTTGGGGATGATAAATATCCTGTATTGGGAAAACACATAATCACCCGTGAAGATCCGGGGTAGAATAGGTCTCCAGCAACCCATGCTTTCCGTAAAAGGCGACTATGGACCAGACAAAGGAGTGACTGAAAGCATGAGCATCGATCTACGCCGTCGTGGCATGATGCGGGAAAACAGCAGGAGGCCACGTCCGTGAGGATCTGGGCTAGACTAGTCTCTCGCAACCCATACTTGTAGCGAGGCGACTAACTTGGTTGATGCATGTCATCGTATCCCAATGGCCTAGATCGATGC